AAAACGACGTTTAGTAAATTGGCTTCAGCGTCGACCTAATTTTAGTTAAAAAAATAAATAAAAAAAATACTTTTTACTTCTAAAAACTTATATTATTAAAACCTTAAAACGAATTTTTTGTTACTTTTATTGTTTTCCTAAAAAAAATTCCCAAAGTTACTGATTGATTTTTAGGCGGTCAAGGTGGTGTAACCCCTTAACACAGGCTTGATATAAAGTATGCTTCGTCGCGTTTTTACGCGACGACACGCATCATTACACCCATTCGTGATATCACAACTCTCTGTACTCTCGATTGTATAATGAAATCGTCAGTACTCGATGGTGACCGTTTTCGTCTTGAGATACTCATTAAGGGCCTCCTGTCCCAGATCCTTGCCGAATCCGGACATCTTGAAGCCGCCAAACGGCGCCGCCACGTCCGTCTTGTTGTACGTGTTGATGAACACGGTGCCGGCCTCGATTCTCTCCGCAAATCTCAGCGCCCTGCCGATGTCCCTGGTGAGGATCCCCGAGGCCAGGCCGAATTCGGTGTTGTTCGCCCGCGCGATCATCCGGTCCGCGTCTCTCGAGCTGAACTTGGAGATCACCATTACCGGGCCGAAGGACTCCTCCCGGGCGATGTACATATTGTCCTCGACGTCCGTGAACACGGTCGGCTCGAAATACCAGCCGGGACGGTCCAACCTCCTGCCGCCGTAGACCAGCTTCGCGCCCTCCTCGACGCCCCTCTGCACGAATTCGAGAAGTTTGTCCAGATGAGCCTTGTGATTCTGCGGCCCGTGGGCCGTGCTCCTGTCCAGCGGATTGCCGATGGTGATCTTCTTCACCTCGTCGACCACACGTCTCACGAACTCGTCGTGGATGGTCTCCTCGACGAACAGCCGTCCTTGAAGATGAGAAAAAAAAATTGATAACAGACAATTTGATTGCATTCGAAAATTTAATTTCCCGTCTCGCGTTAACCGATCGAAAGTATTAAATACGTATTTCCACGATATTTATAACTTAAAAGGGTATTCTAGTCTAGCGAATCGGAAAAATCGATTTTTTTGTTTTTACATATTTTGCGAGTATTTGATATGAAAAATATGTCCGCAAAAGGATTTAGCCCGATTCGCAAAATTAACAAAGTTACAGGCCGGTACTCGTAATCGATTCTTGTATTTGAGATCGTCTTAAGTATAGTCTTAAGATGTTACAAGCCAATTACAGAGCCGTATTAGCATCTTAAGACATTACTTAAGACGGCTTTGAAATAAAAACCGACTTATGAATACCGGCCACAGCACTTGAGAGAGTGGTCTCAATCTATGTAATTATGTACAAAAAACTTTAAATCCGTTTTTCTCGAAACCACGTTTTTCAAATTGGTACCCATAATATCTCGAAAACCAATTGACCAATCAATTCGGGCTTGTGCACACATCTTCAGCATATTCGTGGCTATAGCCCCTACCTTGACCAAGTCAAAATACGTTTTTTTTTAATTTTTACAACCCTTTAAAGTTGAAAAAAATGGTAAAAATCTAAAATTAATTTTCAAAATAATATCAATTTTTAAATTTTTAATATTTTATTTATGTTCTAGTACCAGTTATAGCCAAACTTATACTAATTAAGAATTTCTTTGATTTTTTTGTTTAAATGAGCAGAACAGCCGGAATTATGGGTACCGTAGACCAATCTTTTTTTTTCATGACCTCAGTATACAGGGTGTCCCAAAATTGGCGCATTCGGAGTACAGGACGTGATACTTTGTGTTAAAAGGAACAACTTTTTCCTTGAGCAAATTTTGATCTGACAAGTAATTTTGGCAGGAGAACTGGTTAAAGTTAACGAATAATCGCTCTTGTCCATGCGGCGCTCAGGGCGGCGCGCGCTCCTCCATTCACTTATAATCCTTGGCTAATATTTACAAATAATGTCTTAAAGATACTATACGGCTCTGTTATAATTAATTTACGACATTTTAAGACTGTGTTTAAGATCAGTCTTAAATATTAATAATTGATAATAATTATATTTATGAGTGATTCTTAATATTGAAGACTATCTTAAACACAGTCTTAAAATATCGTAAAACTATTATAACAGAGCCGTTATTAGTATCTTAAGACATTACTTGTAAATATTAGCCAAGGATTAGGAACAAGTGAATGGAGGAGCGCGCGCCGGCCCTGAGTGCCGCATGGACAAGAGCGATTATTCGTTAACTTTAACCAGCTCTCCTGCCAAAA